GTCGCTGTCCATGTCATTGATAAATATATTGAACAGCACCGGTCCCAGTACGGACCCCTGAGGGACTCCACTTGTCACTGGTCTCCATCTGGACATTGAGCCGTTGACCACTACCCTTTGGCTGTGACCATCCAACCAATTCCTTATCCACCGAACGGTCCACCCATCAAATCCATGTCTCTCCAATTTAGAGAGAAGGATGTTGTGGGGGACCGTGTTAAAGGCTTTACAAAAATCCAGATAGATGACATCCATAGGTTTTTCCTTGTCCACCATATAGTAACTTCCATTGATCTGCTGGCTGTAACTCTCCTAATGTAGTTCAGCCAGCATTTATTTTGTTTCTGGTAAGAGCTCACTGCTCATTCATACTCAGCCTGGTGCCCACCATAGCCCCCAGGTCCTTTCCAGCAAGGCTCCTGTCACTTCCTAGCCTGTACCGGTGCACATGTTTATTCTGCCCAGGTGCAGAGCTCTGCACTTCTCCTTGCTGAACCTTGGGTTTCTGTTTAGGTCGCTGTTTTTCTAGGTATCAGCTGTCTCTTCATGATTTAGCATCATCGGCAAATTTGATGTGCCAGTCTATTATAGCTATTTTGGACCTTATGGGGATGGGCAGAGAGGTGTCAGCCTCTAGTGATGTCTCTGGAATTCCCTGGCTTGGGCTCTGTCTGGGTCAGTTCTGCTTTGCACCAAAGACCGTGCTGGTACAAAGGAGCAGAACAAGGTGAGCTTTCTGCTCTGAAATAATGTTTTGTCTTTTCTGGGGAGAAGGCCTTCAAAGATGTTTGGTTTCTATGCTAAAAAATAAACTTGGGTTTCATGTCTGACTAACTGGGTTCTATATTAGGACAAAGAGACCTTGATACTGTTTGGGTTTGGGCTGTCACTTCAGTGCAAGCCTTCCTTACTGTGGCCAAGTAGGCACAGGTGATCTTCTGAACACTTCCTTATTAATACACATTGTATAATTGAGGAAAAAATAAATCATCTTCTTCTGTTCATAGGCGTTTGGGTAGACATGTCCTTGAAATTTACATGAGGTAACATTCACTTTGCATCTTTAATACAATTTAATGCACTTAAATCTTGGATGTGAATATTTCCATTGAATATAAATTCAGTGATGTTATAAACTTGCAAAAGTAGCTCAAGTGCCAAGTGAAGCAGTGGTTGAATTCTTCTTTTACTGGAAAAAAAGAAATTCATTGTGTTGGAGGATTTCTAAAAGTTTTTCAGCAGTAAAATTTTCTGTGATTACAGCAGGTATCAGAGGATACCAAGCTGAACGAACACATTGTTCTTTCTGTCCAGGAAAATTGAGGAAGCTCTCCATTTTGAAGGTTGATCAGAACAAACTTATTCAACTAACAGATTCAATTGGAGACTGTGAAAGCCTTACTGAACTAGTTCTAACAGAAAACCAACTGCAGGTAAGCATGGTCATGGCTGCTCAAATGGCTGGCGGTAGTAAGACCTGCTGCTAAGTGCTGAATCACTTAGCTTGTAAGGTTACTCACCCTTGCTACTGCTAAGTAACGAGTTTCGTTTAAATGCATCTTATTTCTTACCTGGTAAATGAATGCTGAAGAACAAGTTATGTGTAGTAACAATCCACCCTTCCAAAGGCTTAAGCAATTACATATTCACTCTTGAATCTTTCATGACTGGTAAGGGAATCGGAGCATGTGGAGTGCAGGTATCACTTTCTTTGTTGTGTTTTTGATGTGGAGTTTGTGCCATGTTGCATTATTGCCACTATTTGCTGTGTGTTATCTGGATCAGACTTACTGGAACTGAATAGAAGCCGCGAGCGCTGCAGAGCTGGTGTTGTACTGGTCCTTGCTCTGCTGATCTGCTCCAGCCAGGTATTAAATATGACATGTGGTCAATTAAAATAAAATCTCAGACTTCTTTCTATTAGGTGTTTCCTTCCGTTATTTTGAAACTGCCTTCACACGACACTGACACTTGGAGAGCAGAAGTCTTTATAAAAAGAAGTCTTTATAAAAATCTAAGTTAGGTTGGTGCTTGGTTAAGAGCTTAAGCCTGTTGGAAAGGTGCCTCTCCAGAGGTCAATTCATAGCACCTAAGGTGGAAGCATGCCTCTCCGTTAGCTATTTAGGGAGCCTGAAGTTAGATAATATGGAGATTCTGCATACATGTTTCTGCACACAGCTGTTGTGCATCTGTCATCTTTGTGCAGAGATAACTCATGAGTGAATTTGTACTGGAAACTGATGTTTGTGGATGTTTCTTCAGTAAGATAAAACCTTGAGTCTCCTTTGGAAGGCTTGGTAGTAACTAGGGTTAACTACAGTTTGATTTTGAAAATGGATCAGTCTATTAAATTAAATAAATAATCTATTAAATCTATAAATAAGCCTATAAAGTCTATTAAAATTAATGAATTTTAAAGTGAGATAAGTTTTGTTCTGACTCTGTGAATTTACAGATTCTGTTTATATATTACTTTGTTTCTGTTGGCACAGTCATTGCCGAAGAGCATCGGAAAACTAAAGAAGCTGAACAATTTGAATGCCGATAGAAACAAATTAACATCTTTGCCCAAAGAGGTAAGTTTTGTGCAATTAACTCTCACAGATGCGATTATACAAACAGAAAACTCTTGATTTCAAATGCCTGCAAGAAGTAGCAGGCAGCTTTGATCCACTGGGTATTCTTCCCAGACCAATCACAACCAGAAGCTTATACATTAGATCTGAACAGCATAGATCTGAACAGCAGCTGTGGTGATTTCGTGGCTTGGAAGTGCGAAATGTCTTTGCAGTTGAACAGGAAGGCTTGGACCTAATTAGCCTGTAACTAGTAATTCCTGGTGTGGGTGTCAGATCCAGCACTGTTTGAAGACTCGGGGTTCTGTTAGAGTGAATGCATTTAGACATCAGTGTACCTCTTCTGCATGTAGAGTAAAAATACTGCCAGGGTCTGCCTTGCCTCACTCTTGTAAGCAATAGCGAAAGGAGGGCTTCATATTTACAAAAAAAAAAAAAGATTCAGAGACTGTTTTGACAGCCTTTTTGGTTTCTGAGATCTCGGGACTACTTTTGCCTTCAGATATGATGACCTGACATGACCAAGATCACTGATACCTCAAATGTTACAGCTATGATCACTAGGACTTCTTGTCTATCGCAACAACATATGGAATGCAGTGAGGCTGGAATTTCTGTTGTGAAACCAAATACGACGAACGCCTTATAAGTTTAGGTCAGCAGTAAATTCTGGAAAGGGATCAAGGGAAGTTGGCATCCTGTGATTGGAGCACGGGACTGTGAGTTGGTTCTGTTTACGCTACTGTTTCTCTGTGATTTTTGTCCAAGTAGTTGTCCCCCTTAATTTTCCTATCTGTTTCTAACCTGTGACGCTGAGGTCGTAGCTTTCGTTCACCGCTTTCAGTTGTTTCAGGAGCAGGTGGCAGCTGAGGGGTGGGAACTGAAAGGAGTATCAGCACTTGCTAGTCAGTGCACACTTTTGCTCAAGCCTACTTACCGATGGAGCTTGGACAGTGTGAGTAGGTGTAAGGAGGAAGCAGAGTGGCTGGGAACCGGGAGGTGGGGGAGAGTCAAAAGTCGGAAGAGGAGGATCGAGCAGGGGCAGAGGATGCTGCTGTGGCACTGGCAGCAACGATTCCAGTGGCCCAGGTCTGAGCTAATGGTCACCTAATTGTGGCACCACGATAGTCCTCACTGCTTCTTTACAGATTGACTTGCAAGTGTGTGTTTGACCAGGGAGGAAGATAAGGGAGAGAAGAGAAGATGCGAGTACTGCAGCTGCTCTAGCAGGACAGTGTCTCCTCTGCAGAGGTGCTGCTGGTTCTGAACATAGAATTGCAGAGGGCATACCCATATGGATTGCATAAACACCAGCAAGAGGCACAACCTTGGGAAAACCATGTTTCTGGGTTGGGATGTAATGGCAATTTTGATCTTGTGCTGATTCAGCGGCAAACTTTCCACATCTTTACGAAGAACTTAATGTGTTACACAGGTGACCTAAACTATCTATACTTGAGACTTGTACAATTCTGTGTCTAGTCCACCCTTAGGCAGAATTTCTCTGAGTTTGCTATAGCATGTAAGGTTTTACTGATACACTTTATTTCCATATTGGCCATTAATAGCTTATGTAGTGTATAAGCATTTTTCTTGGTTAATGAAGTTCATGGCACTGGAGACAGTGCATGCAGGTAAGCAGCATGGTTTGGAAGGAGCAGGGACAGGAGCAGGTGAGAGGAGGAGGCTCAGCTTCAGAAGCAGGTAAAGCAGGGTGAATGGAGTGTGTCTGTTTGGGGGGAATAACAGGGCCAAGGGTTCGGTGCAGAGCAATAAAGGGATTGATGCTGAACAAGAAACGAAAGACTTAGAGACAGAAATGCATTTCTGAGGTGGAAAGTGTTGCCCAGTTGGTGAAGGAGCTGGGGATATTGAAGTGTGAAGTGAAGAACAAGAACATGTGTGGAGAACATTAGTGCACATGAGAGAGAGGGGAGGGGACACCTGCACAAGGGGTGGGATAAAGTCAGAGGTGGTTCTGTGTTTGGAGAAGGTGGGTGATGAGGAAATGGAAGGCGGTACCTGGAATGAGGTGAGGTGGGGAGTTGTAGAAAGTCCAGGAAATAAAGATCGGAGAGGGTGATTCCCAGGGAGCTTGGCAGAGTAACAGGGGAAACAGAGCTTCTTTTCATCCACTTCTGTGACACAGATTTTTTTTTTTGGGGGGGGTGTGGTGTGTGGAGAGTGGAGGGTTCTGTAAACATCTCCACACCTAAGTATCTTTCTCATTAGAGCAAATTCTTTGAAATTAGATTTAGCGCAAGTTTTCCAGAATGTTTCATTAAAGTATGTTTTGCTCTTTGGATTTTAAAAATTTTTTATTTTGTGCTTTTAAATGAAGACAGTCCTTCTCCAACTGCAGGGTCATATCCACCCTCTAGATCAGTGGATTTGAATTCCAGGCTGGTAATGGTAACAAATGTAAAGCATAAATAACTGATACAATGGTTTGTCTCAAATATACTGCTAATATGCATGTATTGCAGAGCCCAGTGTCTAGCTAATGAGATTTTTCAGTTTCAGTTTTTCAAGTTTCAGTTTCAATTCCTTGTGCTTAGGCTGTGCAGTAAAACACTTTTTTCCTTCAAAAGTTGTTTAGATTGCCTTCTAACAGTACTGAAATGCTAGTTTTGAAAACAGAAAGAAATCTACTGCTCCCTGTTCATGTTTCGTCTGTTCCTGGAGCTGCATTTTCTTTGGGTAGTATTTTTCTTAACCAGTAGCTTTCTGCTTTAAATCAAAAGTGAACGTTTCTTTAGTACAAGTTTTCTGGTTAAAATTCAGAGGAATTTAGTGAAGAGTCACATTTCATAGCTCCAAAGGAAGAAAGTTGTGCATAAACAGAGTGCACAGGTAGAAGGAGTACTGTTTGCTGTAACGCAAAGCATCCACAGGAGCAGCTTCAGGAGTGCTGGTAATGGCAAAGATCCCAATTTGGAGTTTCCCGTTGGATGGCATGGAGGAACAATTTGGTGTCTGGGTGAAATGTTCAATTTCCAGTTTCCTTCTCATCATTACTGACTTGGAAAAAATGTTGCAAACTGCATTGGTAGAGCACTTAAGGAAAACAGAAAAAACTGTCACCCTTTTTATGTCTGTTGGAAGGTTCTGCTTGACAGTGAGAAGGCTTACCATCTTTTCCATTTATTTTTCTTCTCAAATGGACTAATTAATACTTAAAGCCAGGCACGAGCTTCTGATAGCAGTCATTTTTAACACCTCTGCCTGCTGTGTGTTGCTCAAGTGTCTCCTGAGACAGTATGGCGAAGACTGGGGCCTCGGACCTTTGCACGCCAGTCAGTGTTGGTACCTGCACGCTGGTTCTCCCTGCGCAGAGGTGGAGTCAGATGCAGAAGCAGAGTATGCACTGCAGATATTCTTGCTCTTTTTCTTCCCATGTTCTTTCGTTCTTTCTCTGCCTTGCAGAGTGTTAGAACAGCTGTACATTTGTGGTCTTCATCCTTATAAGAAATGGGAGTGGGACAGGCCTTTACTGGTTTCTGTTAGAGGGGGACAAAGATACAGAGTCTGGTCACATGCATATAGAAAAAATGGAACTCTACTAGGGAGAAGAATACATGTAATAAATATCATGTCTGCCTGCTGGTGTCTCTGTCCTTGCCTCCAGAATTATTCCTGGAGCAAAGAGAACTTTTGTAGACAGGATGGCAGAAATTAAGTGCCTGCTCTAATATAACTGGTGAGAGAATCTGAGTGCTAGCTTTTTTGTGGTGTTGTGGTTTTTTGTTTTTTTTTTTTTTTTTTTTTGGGGTTGTTTTTTTTTTTTTTGTTTTTTTTTTAGCAGTTTACTAGGGTTGGATTTTGGGTCAACCTGTCAAACCGTTACATTGCCAGGTTGTTTCAATGCACACTTGTAAAACCAGTCTCTACCTTTTGGTGTAAGATTTGTTGACTTGGGATTATTGAGGAGTTTGTTTGCAGACACCCCTTCAAAGTTTCCTGGTTCAAAGGTGCTTCTGTGTCTGGTGCTGATATATAAGGTGAAATGTGAAACAGCTGAGTGTATGACCAAGACTTGAGTCACTGACAGATTTCATCTTCAGTATCTCATCTTGCAGCTTGGTCCCTCCCTCACTGAACTGAGTGGTGAAACAGACTTCAGCGAGAACCGAGAATGTCTAAACCTGTTCAGAGTCACAAATGTTTTTCCCCTTAAACTTGCAAGACCTGCCTGGTGACTCTTTGGTATTGAAATCCCACCCTGGCACTGGAACGCTGGTGAAACTGGTGTGTTGATTTTGGCACTTGCATAAATAACCTCCTTGGAATGTTTTCCAGTTCATGTGCTTTTGTTAATGAGTCTCTACAACCTGCAGAGATCTGGTGGTGTGTCCTTCCTGTCTCTGAGGGATATTGTGAGGATTATTACTGCAAAATTTTTTTTTTTTTTAAAACAAGTTGGAGCCACTTTGTTTCTGCTTTTAACTTCCATTGTCCCATTCCCTCCTTCGTTTGTGTAAAAGTATGTCTTTGTGTGTCTCAAAGAGAAAAAAGGCACCAAGGAAAAATGCAGGAAAACTTGTCTTGAGTCAGAGGGCAGAGAAGCTCTCTTGCTGTGCTCCTCCCGTACTACTCACCAGTGGTGCAGGGGGTGTTGAAGTGAGTTTGCCAAAGATTTTCCTACCCAATTTAAAGTTAGTAATAGCTGAATAATAGCTAGTAATGGTGGACTGGACAGTTTCTTCCACCTCTAAATGTATTCTGTGCTTGCAATTAAAGAATTAATCTATTTTATCTGGGGCCAAGGAAAATTCTGACTTTATTTACTTGGAATCCAATCAAAATTTTGGTTATGACACCCTGGAAAAGATTTTTACAACACAACAGGAATTGTGTTTAAATTCCCAATATATTTATCAGAGTTGTGTAAACCTACTGAGAGTTCTTGATGCTGACAGCTGTACTGAGAGTTGAATAAAAGAGGTGTGTCACTAGACTTTTGTGACATGCTTCTTTTTTTTTTGCATTGCTTATACTTGTGTGAAAGATGTTAACTGGTAAAGGACAGAAGAATTGATTCATAGCTTTTGAACAGTTAACAGATGCTGGGATCAAAAGATGTAATTCAACTAATGTAACTTGAAGGTCTTCTATGTTTTCCACCTTTCCACCTTTGATTTCTGTTCTGGCTTTAGAGCACCAGCAGTGTGAGGATGTGTGAAATTTGGTCTGTGGTGACGAATGACTGTAACTGATGGCTGGGGTGAGGAGAGGGAGCAAATGGGATTTTTTGGGAGGGATCTGAGTGCGAAGAGAGGGATGAATCTGCACATTCTTCTTGGGTTTACCTCCAGAAAGCTGCAAAGGTGTCGTCAGCAAGAAAAGTGGAATGGCAACTGTCACGTTATTGTAACAAGAAAAATCGAATGGCAACTGCCAGGTTATTGTAACAGAGAAGTGCAGTAAAAGTCAGGTGATCAAAAATCTGCAGCTGATGCAGGTGTCAAAACAACTGTCTGCATTGCAGTAGAGCAGAGGAGTTATCAGAAACATCAGCAGAGGAATGATGTTAGAAGTCTTGCAGGTATGGAGGGCTGTTTAGGATGGGCTGGCAGTGGGGATGCGGATGTCAAAAAAGCAGGAGACTGAAGTGGTGAACGCTGGTCAGGATGAGAACGTGGAGGGGAGTTTTAGCAGCAAAGCTGACATCCTCTCTGTTTATGCCCAAGTCTTGCTACATTTCCAGAGCAAGCAGGCTGTTAGACAGATGAGTCTCAGACTGAGAGAGAAGAGAGCAAACCTAAGAGGAAGAGTTTTGTGTGGAACCCAGAGGGGTCCTGCTGGCGCTTATCCTGTGAAGCAAGTTCCACCTGAATGCAAATAAGCAGTTTTGTTCAGCCTTTACAGTACTGTGAAATCAGTGATCTCAAAATTAGCTCTTCATAGTAAGGATCATTTTCCACCTGACTGATGTGTGGGTTGTGTTTTTGTGGTTTTGTTTTTTATCTAGGCTGAATATTCTTTGGAGATGGTGTGATAAAGCAAGTGAATAACCCTTAAATTAAAGTTGCTAGAATGAAATAAATCTCAGGAGTATGGCTCAGACATGCTCAACTCATTTGAGACGTCTTCCTGATGTCTAGCTTGATACAGAAGAATGTGAGGACTTCTTCAAACCTCCAGTCTTTGGAACAGTTACTCGTGTGCCTAGAACTAAGCATATGCTTGTCCCCGTTAATTGAAGTCTGTGCTCGAAAACTGTGTGCTTGACTGTTAAATGGGCTTGTGGTCTCAACTGCTGTGTACTTGGTGCCTGGGCGGTGGTTTGGCAAAGTCTGTTGTAAGCATGTGATCAAACCCTCGGAAAGCATGGCTCTTTGTCAGTTAATGACTCTCAGCCAAACCAGCGGTGTTCTGATACCGTATTACTTCATGGTGGTCACAATGACGTTTTCCTTTCAGCATGCCATTTAGTGTGTGCAGTTGGCCTCAGTGGTACCACTTTCTATTTAGGTCTTCAGACGTTGGACCTGATGTCTTTCTGTACTGCTGGATGGGTGCTATCTTTTTTTTGAAATGACAAAGATTTTAGTTTTTCTTTAACTGTCAGCTTGTCTTTTTTCTCTGTGATATCTCACCCGATGCTGCTTGTTAGATGCTGCCTGCATTTTCTAAAACGAGTTTCATAAAAAAGATTCAGTATCTGTCTGTTATCTCCCCTCACTAACCTGTTAAAAGAAAAAGGTCTTCGCTGCCTCTGAATGAAACAAAACCTTTGAACAATTGCCTATCGACTGATAGAGCAAAGTTAAAATAGCTCAAGTTAAAATAACTTAGGAGTTCTAACCCTCTTTGGCAGTAGAAGAATGTATGTTCTGTCTCCAATTGTTGGCATGCTCTTGTCCAGTATGGATAAAGAAAAATAAATTGAACATCTCTTGTATTTTCTTAATTGTTAGCCGCTTGGAAAATTATGGGTCAGGTAAATTGATAACCCTGTAAGTATTATTCAGTCCACAATTCTGCTGTTACCTTTCATTAAACTGCTTTAAATGCATGATGACTTGGGCCGGCCAGTTCCACTGCTCCATTTTTCCATTGTCAAAGGTGTAGAAGTTTTGGTCTCATCAGGGCTGCATGGCTTTACTTTGTTTGGTTGGCTAAACTGTTTGGATCTCCATGCTCCAAGACTGAGTAACGCAAACGTCATTCACGGAAAAGTGAACACTTTGTGTACAGTTAGGGCATCACTTGCCAGCTCATCAGCATTCACTGATTCTGTCTCTTGCTTTTCACAGCTCCTCATGTTAGATACACCAATTAGACACTCGGTGTGTGTGTGTGTATATATATGTATTTTTTTTTTCTCTGTGGCACTGTATTCTGTGAAAGTGTCAAGGCACATTGTTTAAGAATCTATACATGCTTTAAAGAGAATAGGGGAATTATTGCACTAAGAAATTTATTTGCTCATGATTTGAGTGCTGGTTTCTTAGGGCTTTGATTCACAAGCTAAAATGGCTAACAAGGTTGCTGCTCCTAGCACACACACAGCGCCAGCAAAGCCGATACACTTATGAAACAGCTGCATCGTAGAGGGCAGTGATTTAAGGAAAACCATCTCAGATTTTGTTTCGTCAAGAGAATGTTGTGCTGTAACTTTGCACTGTAAATAGCTTGTGACTCAGAAGCCTTGAGCAGCTGATCGCTGCTTTCTTCCATTAAAATGTATTCATGATAAAAAGAAAGGTGAGTGGGGTATAAATGCTCCGTATGTTTGATTTTCTAAGTCAGTTTCATCCTTTAAAACATGGCTTTTTCCTTGGTAAATAGTGTAGGTTAAATCAATGTAAATTTTTGACTAGTGGAAAATCTTTTGTGGTGTTTGTAATCTCAAGCTTGGGTTTGGACTGAATTGTGGATTCTGCAAAGACAGAACTGACAGAACTTAGAACGCATAAATATTTTAACTCAGATATAGGGACTCCTGACCAAGGTGTAGTGACGTGTTGGCTGGATTGTGACAGAAGAACCTTGTTATGTGTGTGTGACAATAGATGTCCTCCAGTTTTTTGAACGAAGGTCTTTCAGTAGGTTTGCTGTCTATAGTTAGGTTCTAAGTCTGCTCAACTTGAAAGCTTCAAAAGGCATTGGGATATTTTGCCTCGAATACTTGGAGTAAGGGAAGAAACTCCCCCCCCCTCCCCCCCTCATGATGAGTTTTGGAGCTGGCAAACAGCCAGCAGTGCTTTTTGAAGCTCCGTATGATAAGTGAGCAAAGGTAAGTTTCCTTTGTGGATAGGAACAACGAGTTACTTGAAGAAGCTTTCAGGTTGCTAAAACTAATAATTTTGGTGTTTATAGGAGTAGTAATTGCTATCTGGAACAAAAAGGTGGAATGTGTGGAGTGTTTTTTTAATCAAATGTAGAAGCTTTATTTTTTTGAAAACATGTATCTTTGATGCAAAATACAGATATTTTATGGGTAAAACTGAAAAACCCTATTTTTTGCGCCCCAAAATGAGCTTAGTATGCAGATGCTTACATTTGGATGAATTGGTAGAGACAGAAGATATTAGATTAAATTGGCCAGTGCATATGGGAATCATCTTGAAATTAGATGCTTCTAATAAAACAGGGCATCAAAGATGATACTCATAAGGTCTGTCACGTTTTGTGAACTCTTCATTACTCTTTGCGGACTCAGTAAACGTTGGGAGTGGATTGGTGTATTTAGCAGTTTGCCTTGCCTAAAGCCCTGTTGGACTTCTTGTATCTAAAGTTACCATGAGGAAAGAAAGAAAGAATGAATATGTGAAACATAGAGCTAGAAAAAGTTCAAAGTTAAATCTAGTATTTTTTGTGAGGGTTGTCTGCAAAGTGACATCCATGTGGTTACTGATCTCTTCCTGGCTTGGAAGGCTCTAAGGGGTAGGTAGAACCTGACCTGTCTGTAAAGTTATACATTAGTCACAGGTAAAGCTGTTCAAGAAACTCCTGCAACAGACTCGCTCAGGTCAGGCTTCTCTTAAGCTAACACTTCTTTGCAGTCTGTACCTCTGGGTGAAGTATCTGGCAGGCATCGTAGCCTGAATGTGCTGTGACAGATTACGTGACCCGTACTGCATGCCTTTGTTCATACTGTCATGCTGCAACAAAACCAGGACTTTTTTTTTTCCCCTTCTCTTCTCTAATATAGATTGGGGGGTGCTGTGGTCTTAACGTCTTTTCTGTACGTGACAACAGATTATCTCGAATTCCTTCTGAAATTTCACAAGCCACTGAACTTCATGTCTTGGATGTTGCTGGAAACAGGTAAGAGATTTCTGTATTGTCACGTTCTTTTGCTAGATTTACTTAATTCTTTCTAACAACAAAAAATATTACGTCTAAGAATGAAGTAACGTATAACAATTATGACTTTTGTGTTAGCATTACTATTGAAATTGTAAAAGTAGTCTTCACCCTTGGCCCAAAGTAGCATAACTTCTGTGTTGTCAGGAGTATGTTTTCTGGATTGCTTTGACCCTTAGGAAAAGATAGGATTTAGAAAAAAAGTCTGGATTTGTATATTTCTGAATTAAAACTGAGAATCTAGGCAATTCAATAGAGCTTCAGCTGAAACTACCAGCCTCAAGTAACACTGCATCGAGTGTCTTATCTTAGAGATATACAGTGCAAGTAACAAATAATGCCACTTTGACCTCGTGGCTTCTCATGAATCTTAGTTGATATGCTTCAGACATCAAAATGCAAAAAGGAGTGGATTGAAGCATAAACTAGCAAATTAGTTCAGTTGCTTAGGAGGAAGTTAAATGGGAAAAAAAAGGGGTGGAGGGGAGTAAATGGCATCTCATCTATGTGGTATAATTGTCTCATAGGCACTTATGTATTTGTTCTGTCAGTTGTGTACACGTAAGGCTCCGGAGCAGGAGCAGCTGTCTACCTTCCAGGACATTTTACTGCAGTAGAAAAAGTTCAGGATAGTTCTACCTGTTATTCACAGCTACAGATAATTATGGTATAAAGTTAAGTTGGAGATTCTTTTTAAGAGAATGGAGTAGTTGGAGTTGATGGCTACTGCAGTGGCTTTTATTAGAGGCGTTAATCTCAATCCTGTTTATTCCGACTCAGGGATATATACTTAAGAGTTGACTTATGACATGTCCAGTTGACATGACCATGTATTAAATCTCCTAGAGATTGCCCTGACTTCTCTACTTTTCTTTTTCGAACTAGGCTGACGTATCTTCCCCTCTCGCTGACTACCTTAAAGCTGAAGGCTCTGTGGTTGTCTGATAACCAATCCCAACCTTTGCTGACGTTTCAGACTGACACAGACCCTGAAACAGGAGAAAAGATTTTAACATGTGTATTACTTCCTCAAATGCCTTCTGAGCCTGGTTGCCAAGGTGAGTGCCTAGAGTCAGTTTTTCATTACGTATAGAAATACTTCTTTGTTTACTGTGTTGTCTCTTCCATAAAGGTTTGTAAAACATATATAAGCTCTAATGAGCAAAATAGCAAAGTTCTGGTTGAATTTTCACTTTTAAACTTTTTTTTTTTCCGTAATCGTACTAGTTTTCAGAAGACTTGAAAAACATGGCTGTGAGTGTTACTGAAAATACATTGACGCCAACTACGATAAATAAAATACAGACCTGAAAGAAGAAGACGGAATATATCACTATTCTGAGGCTTGCCAGTGGGCCAAGTAGTGGTGTCCATATTTGTGTACACTGGTTATACATCTTAAAAACATATATAAGCAGTGAAAATTGGTGGCTTTCCAACTACTGTCTCTTTACCAGAAAAATAATTGCATAGCTAGTAATAATCAGTAGACATTTTACTTTCTAGCAAGCTAATTTTCTTTCAAGCAAAGATGCTGTACAGTAACTTTATTATAGTCTTCAACAAGTGTATAATTGCAGTATAGGTTGCTTTTGCCTTTTGTGCTGAAGCTTGCCTCTGGGTCAGGTGGAATCTTAAACTCTTTTTCACTGTTGGCTGGGTTGCTGCTCCAGTCACTTCTGGATGTTTTTTTTCCTCAAGCTTTTATAGCGATGTCTGAATATTCAAAGGGAGTCATCTGAGCTAATATTTAAACTTTTGCTGTAATCACTGGAGAGTGGCTCTGGAAGAAGAGGAGGCTCCAGGGAGACCTTATTGCAGCCTTCCAGTACCTGAAGGGGCCTGCAAGAAAGCTGGAGAGGGACTTTCTACAAGGGCATGTAGGGATAGGACAACGGGAAATGGCTTTTAACTAAAAGAGGGTAGATTTAGATTAGATATAAGGAAGAAATTCTTTACTATGAGGGTGGTGAGGCACTGGGACAGGTTGTCCCAGAGAAGTTGTGGCTGCCCCCTCCCTGGCAGTGTTCAAGGCCAGGTTGGATGGAGCTCTGAGCAACCTGCTCTAGTGGAAGGTGTCTCTGCTCGTGGCGGGAGGTTGTGGAACAAGGTGATCTTTAAGGTCGGTTCCAAACCAAAGTGTTGTGTCATTGCATGAGAGTAAATTATTCCATCCAAGAATAGACTTTTGAAGAACTCGTGTGTATTCTTCTCCACTAAGTACAAAGGGAGCCTGAGGGGAAAAGCTCCGCTGTAGATATCGATATTGTAGGTACTCAAACTTACCTAGATTAATTCCACTCTTTCAATACTATGCAGCTGGAACAAGTAGAAACCCCTAAAGCAGTAGAAGTGTAGAAATGGCTCTGTTTTGTGTCAGCTTCTGGATTTTAAGAATACAAATTGTGTTAAGAATTAAAATAAGTGCATTAACCCTTTTAGATTTAGAGAAGATTAAGCTAGCTCAAGAAGAATAACTGAGGTAGACTGACTTTCTCTGAAGGCCTCACTACTAGAAATCAGATTTCCTCCTCTCCAAGTGAATCTCAGGGCTTCAGAGGTAGAAGGCTTGGAATCGGATGTGTGTGCCTAGCAATACTGAAAGGATGAGGTCAGTGAAAGCAGTGATCCTGTGTTACGGAATGCCATTTAGGGAACTGGCTAATGTCTGATGGCAGCTATGATCCAGAAGAAAAGCATGTAAAGTGGCAAGAATATTAAATTCTATAATCAGTACTCTAAAACTGCCACAAACCTGAAAGAGTTGAAGTACAGAAATTTCTCATTTATACAGAAACTATTTGTTGTCGGTACTTGAAAACAGAAAATTAAGACACGTTGTGTTTTCTATCAAAAAAATAGAAATAACCAGTTGTTAATCTCGGATGAGTGATTGGTTGGGTATGGCAGTTATTGACAGTATAGCTTGTTGATGTTTTAGACTTGCTGTGAATCTTTAGTTACGTTTTGCTGGTCTAACAGATAACCTACCACGATGTGGCGCACTGGAGAGCTTGGTAAATGAAATGTCGGATGAAACATGGAATGAGCGGGCAGTGAATAGAGTCAGTGCAATTCGCTTCTTAGAAGATGAAAAAGATGAAGAGGATAACGAAATGGTATGTTTTCCAAGCCTTTGGATACCTGCAGACACTGTGACGTAAATGCAAAAGTGTAAAAAGTATCTGAGCTCCCTTGCTGTCATTATTTCAGCTGTGACTGCACACTTTTTCTGTAAGTCTGTAGCAGAAACTTCATGTTGACTGCTGAATCTTTTTGTATTGACTTAAAATGCCTTTTTATTTTTTTTTTTTCTGCTTTGAATATAATTTTTATGTTCTGATGCAGGACAGTCTTTGTTTTGCTTTGTTTTCCTTTCTCTGTTCAGGATGATTTCTTTCCAGAAGCAAGATATTATCTTTGTATCTGTGAAGCTTTACTGCTTGAAAGTATACAGAGCCTAATTTATGATTCCAGTGCTCTGGCATGTGTCTCCGTTAAGTTTGCCGTTGTTTGTCTAATTTCTGTTTCCAATCTCTTGCTTTCTCTCTCTCTATTTCTTTTTTTTTTCCCCTCCACCATTTGCATTGAAACAACCACAGTGTCCATAAACAGCAAGAATGTTGCTCATTAGTTTCCCAGTTAAACAAAGGATGTGGGAACATCTGTCACTGTACTTATAAGACCTCTCCGTTAAGTTGGGCTGTGCATGTCCTGAAGATCAAAATGCAGTGTGATCTTTGGCTTTACTGACTTTCATTAACAATTAAAACTCTTTGTAAAGATTAAGACTGCTTCAGTCAGATTTTTAGTGTGCTTCTCTGATGCTCTAAAAACTTGCTGGTGGTCCTCATTAGAGCTCCGCTTGAGATACTTCAGGGCACTGTCTGGATTGTAGCTCACTAGAAACGTGGTCTTACTTTAAAAAGTGACCATAAAAATTCTTAGTAGGGAAATAAAGTTTTCAAGTAAGGTGATTGCTTAATCCAAAGCAGCAGAAACTAGATGTCTCTGACAAGCATGGTTCATAGACTGACCGATAAGGGAGTTCAGAATGATGCTTCTTAACGACTGTGCCAGCTGGAGAATGTCCATACAATAACGAGGGCTCAGGTGTTAATGATCACTGCTTTGAGTCGTGTTATTATAGCCTAGGTGGAAGGGCAGATTTCCAAAGCAATCTTGACGAATGCACCCATTTATGGGTCATTAGTTCTGCTGTAATCTGCATGGTTTACATGTATACCACTGAAAAGTAGTTGCATGTGTATATGTATTATGCTGATACATACTTGTGACAAGTTATTCTAGGTGTTCTGTTGGTCTCTAATCTGGATGCTAACTGGCGTTTTCGTAAATTTTGTTTGCCTTGTAAAGGTTTCAGCACAGTGATGTTAGACCTTCTTGTGTCTAAGATGGGAGAGAAATGCTCCCTCTTCTTCCTTTCAAGATACTTGTTCTCAGTTGACAAGAGAACCAAACTGTGTGGTGGGGCTGGAAGGCAGACAGAGCTCCACAGAAATGTGGATTTGACACTGTAAAGAGATCTCGTGGGATTCTTTCAAAACCAGCTGAATGTTTTTTTGTTTGAAATGTGATCTGAAATCACTTGGATGGTTTTTTGGGGAAAAAAAAATAATCCCCAACTGTATTTATGAAAGAATTTTCACTTCATAACTTGTAATTGTACTTCGCTTGAGTGGCTTTCAGATTAGTAGGTCAAGAGAGGAAAAAATCTGCTCCTAGACAGTTCTTAAAACCTCTTTCACTGTCTTCATAAATATGCAGCTCTGAAAATAATGTTCAGTGTAGAGCATCGTAGTTTGAAAAAGGTGGAAAAAAAAGAAAAAATCGATACCTAATATTTGGTGTGTGAATGCTAAAGCCGTGAAAGCATGTGTTGTTTTTCAAAGAGACGAAGGCAAAACCACTTATTGCGCTGTTTATTTTTAGAGAACACTTCTAAGGCGAGCCACTCCACACCCTGGAGAATTAAAGAACATGAAAAAGACAGTGGAGAATTTACGGAATGATATGAATGCTGCTAAAGGACTGGATTCAAACAAAAACGAGGTCAATAATGCCATTGACAGAGTGACCACTTCTGTGTAGAGTTTCATCTCCGGGTTTTACCTCCTGTGTCTTCCCCTGCTGTTGAAATGTTCCTGTCATCTTCTGGGACCTCACTGAGCCCCTTTTTGTTTTTAACCAGAACCTGGTTCATCGTCTCCGTATATGTGAAAAGTGCTGCCCACTGGAAGAAAGTGCCTTATTTCATCCAGGCAGTGAACCAATAATTTCCAAATCAATAGTGTAATTTTAATAGTGCTAGGCTTTTTAAAGTATAATACACTACTGTATGCAGAATACAATATTTTTGTCTTAAACGCAGGGGAAATAATGCTTTTCTTTTCCAGAGTATTGGGATATCGGTTTCCCAGTGGCTGGAGCTGCTGGTGAGAAATATAGTTTTGTGGAAAATTGATACACTTTTTTATTTTTTTTGGCAGCTCAGATGGTGTAAATTTTAAATTTTTGTATAGGACTTTCATAACAAAATGATGTATTTCATTTTTAAGAGAAAATTTATCTTGAGCGGTACATATTTTAGTATTTGTGGAAGAGAAGAAGTTTCATGGACAACTGTATTCATTGGTTTGTACCACCCTTTGTGCCTTATTGTGTCTTGTATGTCATACTAGTCTTAAATACAGCAATTATTGAGGAAAGTGAGTAGGTTTAAATTTGGTCTCCTCTTTTAGATACGTTTTTCTTCTTTCCAGACAGTAATTTGTTGGGATTTTTACAGCAGAGAACTGATGTTTATATCATGGGATTTTAGCTCGTGAAGCACAAATGTTAGTTTTGTTGTAAACAGAATTAAGATTAAAATGACCAAACTGCTATTGTTTATTACATAATGCACTCACACTTTAACTTAGTTGTAATGAAACATCTTGTTTTGGATGCTGTGTTGCATTGCAGTCACTAGAAATTCATGCTTCCATTGTTGGGGTTTTTTTTTGTTTGTTTTTTTTTTTTTTCAAATGTGCCATCTGTAAAATAACTTGAAAAACAGCACGGTAGAATTTCAGAAGCACAGTATGAAACAAGTTTTATGTATTACACAAGAAAGCATGATTCTTTAAAGTGCATTCGTGGTTTTATATACTCATATAAAACCATAATAAAAAATCTTTAAAAGCTTCAGTAGATTTATTGTATCATTAAAATACCAATTAAAGTATGTATGAGTTAATACCAGAATTTACTATCATTGTTACTGTGTTGCACTTCCAATGGTCCAATGCTGATTTCAAGGTCTAATTAAATCAATGGGTTCTGGTTTGTTTACAAAGGTAAGTATTAACCGAGTTGAAGTCCGTAAAGAACAATTTTGCTAAAGGCTGATAAAGATTGCTTTTGGTGTCTCTGGTTTCTGTATGTGCCGTGAGCTAGCAAAGACCGCTGACCTGTTCAGTGCAGGAAATTGAGCAGTCTGAGTTCAGAGCAATGGTTTGACATATTTAGTGTGAGCTAATGCAATGAACCCAAATTTCAAGAAAATGAAAGACCCTACACTGCCTGTATGGCTAACCACATCCCTCCTTCTGCTGAACATTTCTTCCACCAAGTGTTGGTTGTATGAGGGTTTCTGGGAGAAGATGGGAAAGGAGAATCCGGGAATTCGTAATAACTTCTGTGTTAAAATTAATAACTGCAATATTTGATAATTTTTGTAATGTAACTGTATAAATTTTGATTTGAAGCTTTTAGAAAAGGCACTGCTTTCTTTTTGACACTGAACAAGTAGGTATTGCAAGCCATCTGCAAATATTCAAATCTAACTTGGCAAAATACATCAATTTTTATGATTCCTTCCCATCCCAAAGATTCCTCATTTAAGCTTCAAGGCATGGTCTCTTTGCAGGAGGTGCTGCAGGCTGATAGGTGTTAGATCAGTTCAGGGGTAGTCCAATTTCATTCTTCCCAAGGCAGAGTTCTCCCAGCTGTTCTTGGTAAGCTACTGTTGAAATAAAACCAGAAAGAAAATGAGGTTGTGATACAGCTGACTCCAACCTTGGGTAGAATTTTCTTTTTAAAGTATTTACTGGGATTGGCACAATGAAAGTTTAAAAATGTAGGAAACTCTGTACCCAGCGTCCAAGTAAACCTCAGCAGACCCATTTGAGATGAAAATGAGTTCCTAAAAAAGACAGACCGAAGCCAAAGGCAGCAGGGCTCTGTGCTCTGTGGTGACAGTTTCTCCTTTGGAGGCCGTGGTTTGTTCTGTTTTGTGTCTGCTCCAGATACAGACGGGAGAGCTCCGTCAGCAAGATGAAGGGGATGTGTAAAGCCTGGATTCGGGCCTTGCCTAACAAATGAAAATAGTTAACTGCCCATGTGCACCTCCTCCCTCCCGCTGAAGTCAGAAGAAGACATAAATCTTTGTATAGCTCTGCAATAGGTGCTTTCTGCAGTGGCTTTGACGTGGAGTAACTGGTCAGCAGTCAATTCTTAAGTTTTTTGTTGGGTTTTTTTTTTTCAGTAGTGGAAGGAATATTTGTTTTCGTTTCTCTGGCTACAGAGAAATGGGTGATCGAGGCTTGTTGCCTTCATTGGGGACAGTTTCAAGTTCCTGCACCCTAAGGTGTGTGGTATCGTCTCATTGTGGTCATCTCAGCCAAAGACAGGTAGTATGAATTGCTTATTGAAGGTGTTTGCCTCCATTCATTCGTAAAAGAAAATAAATTGAGCTTGGAATAGAATCCAAGAGTTGCTTGAGGAGCGGTTAGAGGAGCTGAAGTCCATCATCAGACCATGCTGCTGCTGTCCCCAAAGGAGTGGTGGTGTTCCTTGCTTTTCACTGCAATCTGTCTTCACTTTGTGAATCTGTGTAGGGCAAGTCTGGATTTTCTGAATGTTCTTTCAGTGAATATCTGGGGAGATCTGGAAGCGGAGGTGTGTTTTTTCAGTCTTCTACACTAACGTCGTGTAGCGCTGCATCTCATGAATATCTTTTGTTTATGCTCTTTGGGTGAGGCAATTTGAGCTTCTGCTCTGCCGTGGGTGGCTCAGCAGTATACACAGTTGGGTGTAGGTGTTTGAATCTGTAAGTGCATTTTGCCAGGCTGGTAAAAACTTGAAGTAGGATAACAGCTGCTGGTGGTGTGGAAGAACAGCAGTTTAGGTGTTCTTTGTTTTCAGGGCTGAAAAGGTGCTTGGATACTTCTTATGCAAATGGTGACGAGTGGCTGCCCTCTCTCCCGCCCAGATCCTAAATGTCTGGTTCACAGCAGCTTTAGCATGGAAGAGTGACTTGTGTGTCATTCCACCCCGTCAAACTTCCAGTAGCCTAGACCCCCGGTAGCCCCTCCGGTTTCTTGACGGTCGGCGAGCGTGCCGTTTCATAAAGTGGTTTAGGTACACGTGTCCTCCCAACAGTCTCGATAAAAGTCCCAGGCAGTTTTAACTGGATTGTTTAGCCAGAGAAAGCTGCTGATGCTTGTTATGCTGGAGCAGTGTGCGTCCTTTAAAGCATGAGCCCTCCCGTCCAAGTCCCCGGCTCTTTTCTCTTGCTGATGCTTTGAGGAGCCTGAGCAGTGAATATAACTTTGTGGACATAACTTATGGCTTTTTTCCCCTCCTTAATCTTTTTCTACTTTTTCGGTTGCTTTGTAAGTCTTTTGAGGGGTGAGCCTAATGCAAGGAAAGAAACACGACAAAATTTGCACGCTGGCTTGTTAGCTAAACAGGTAACCAGGCAAAAGCAATTGACCGTAGTGGTGGAGTGGATTTAATATTAACCTGTCAGTTACTGCATGCGAGCTCTCTTTAGTGAAAGTCAAAATTCCATCGTCTTACAAGAGTAGGAAAAAAAGCACTCTCCTGCTACCACTGTTAGTGTAGTTACTGTAGCAACAGATTTTTCCATCCCCTGTGTGTTGCTCCAGGCTTTTTCCACAGCTTCCATATAATTTAAGTGTTGAGATTATTTTTCTGGTTTACATTCCATAATTTTGATAACCAGCATATTGTGTGAAAGTGAGTGCTGGAAACTTGCACACCACTGTGCTTTCCAGCAAATGACTTGTTTGTGTCCAGGACAAGTTGATCAGCCTGCTTCTATTAATTAAAGCACTAATATTAGTGCTTTACTAGTGCTGGGTGAGCTGTTTTTAGCTGATTAGCTACTGAACAGGTTTTGCTACTTGCTACTTGCGAATTCAGCTTTTGAGAGGAGAGTAGTGACACCAGGAATTTAGTTTTTTTAAAAAAATATACTTTTAGTATATCAGCTGATCCTGTCCTGGTTCACTGTAAATGTCTACCTCCCACTGAGACTGAAGCATACTGTTTATCAGAAATGTCTAGACCTGTTGTTAATGGAGAATTGACTGCCTGTCTTTGCCTTGACTCTGGAAAATAAAATTATTTTTTCGATTGACTGGTACGAGTGTTTCCCATCTTCAATTTCCATCAAACAGACAAATCTGCTGCCATGCTCAGATTGCTATCGGGGGAGATGACAAAATCAGACTGGTCTTGGCTATCAGTAAATGTTTTTGCTGTTCCCTTCCTCCTGAACCAACTGTGAAATTTTCAGAGGGACAGCACCTTCCTCGTCCATTCTGAAGTCAGGAATATAATCAGTGTTCAGTCAGCTTTATGAAAAAGGTGAGATTTTTTCCTAGTGGAAAAGCAGATACCTGGTTTGAAGACAGCTTTGTGAGCTGCTTTGCAGGAGCCACCTAATCTCCTCTTCTGGTGGATGTTGGAGAGACTATGCATTTTATCGCCTTTTGTACGGTTCTTGGGGCAACAGGATGGCCAGTTGTGGGTTCTGCCAGAGCAGAGGGCTTGGAGGAGCTCGGTGCGTGTGGCTGGACTGTACCTGGTACCAACTTCAGGGGCAAGGGTGCATGGCAGTCTGGTTTTGAATCTGTAAGTTGTTCGGGGTGTGCCTCTTCACACTGGTGCTGTTAGTCTATTAACACTGACATCTTGAGTAGCTTATCCTTATACAGGAAAAGTCCTCTCCTGAAAAGTACAGCATCACTATTGTCCATGGGAAGAACTCTGTGGCTCCTCAGCGGTGTTTCGGAGAAGGGATTTAGCAAATTTCCCTTGGCGTTAATACCGGGAAGTGGACATCCGATGTCCAGTAGCCTTTGACACTTCTCCTGCGCATCTGTTGCTGGAGAATGTTGTCTTGGCCGAAATCTCTGGATGTGCAGCTGGAGCCATGGTGACAGCTGTACCCAAAGCATCAGCAGCGCTTACCGCAGTAGACAAGTACTGGCTGTGGTAACTCCTCGAAATCCATGGGTGCACGCACAGCTTGTGAGTACCACCGAAGCGTCAGCAGCTTCAATTGCAGTTGAAGCATCCCCAGAATAATGCGGAGACAGGACTTCACTCTTCAAAGTCAGCTTTGTGTCAGACTAAAACTACCATCTTTTGGTGCCGAGGCAAACTCGATCAAATTATGGGACTGTGCGAGGGATGTAAGCAGTTTGATTCCCTGATCTCTCGCAGTAACTTCCCAGTTTTACCCAAACCAGAAATCAATGTGCTTTGTTAAACCGTTTTGAAGTAGCTCATAGGCTATGTGATCATCTTGTATTTCTGGAAGATTAAACAGGGCACTACGTGATTATAAACATGAGTGAATTTCTCTATAGTTTGTTGACGACATCGTGGACGTCCACTAAGCAACTTAAAACTGACACAAAATCTAAACTAACTAACAAAAAGAGTGATTGTTTGAATATTGCTGATGATTTTTTTTCCCCTGCAGAAAGGGACAAAGCTGCAAGTCTGAAGAGCATTTGCATAGTGAATGTTTTTAGAGTAAACTACAGCAATTTTTTTTTTTTTTTTAAATGGTGTCTTCAGGAAATTCAAAAATCTCATCTGGCTAGTTAGTACCTGGACTTCTAGGTTGAAAATTGCCATGCATTTACTGCTAGCAATTTTTTCCTGTGGAAGGCTTGCTTCAGTAATCTGTTCAGGCAGCTTTTATGTTGGCTCTGCTGCAGTGAAAGCAGGTTCAAGGATGCCTTTGTTTCGGCAGCTTTTTGTTTAGCTTTCGTTCTTATTTCATGCGAATCACACAAAGCTCTTTCAGAGACAGCCTTTTGTACTTTAAAAAGGGAGCGAGTCTGAAATAGTTTTCAATTAGTAGAAGATGTTATGTTTAGTTGTTCCTAAAAGGAAAAGGGTGTTGATGTTCTAGGAAATGCATCTTTGAAGACATTTTCTTTCCCATATTTACTAATTAAGCTGTTTAAGCACATCTTTTTTAAAAGAGTAGGTGAAAGTGTGTGTTTGGGGTTTTGAGTGGAATTATAGCAGCAGGTGTATTGCCATCGAAATACTCGAGGTAACTGAAAGCCCTGGCTCCTACGTGCTGATGGTGACCAAGTTGTCGCTGTAAGCAGGGTGTTCCGTTGTCACTGGAAGGTTTCAATACGGTATTTCAGAAATGTGGGTGGTTTTCATGTCTTGGTTTTTGTTGTTAGGGTGTTTTGGATTCTTTTTCATTTGCCAGAATGATTTAGGGTGATATGCAGCGTTTGAACACCTTTGTTGCCTGCGGGAAATTCATTCTCTAGAGGATTTATTAGTGAGATCTTATCGGGATAGACACCTTGTGCTGTATGAGAACAATTTGTCCTCTTAACATACAGGGGTGTGATGCAGAGGAGTATTTATGTTCTGAAGAGGCTGCCTTTGCGAACATGCAAAACATGTTGAAAGGAGGTAAAAAGGGAAAATGCCTGGTTGCTGGTGAAATATTGAAGGAAAATGATCTGTTACCAATCTGTTAGGATCATTACTAGTGAATGGAGATGAAAAATGTATTTCCATGGAACATAACAACTGCTGAGGCAGATAAATAGTTTTTCCCTCCACGCACTTCTGCATTTACAAAACGTCAGTGTTACGCAGTCCAAATACCCATGAAACTTAAACACTGAATTTGCCTTCTTCCTTTGTTTTATTCCAAATACTTTTAAGAGAATGTAAATCTATGTGCCTCATGGTGTGTTTGCTACTGATGACTTCAAAAATTGACCTTTTAAATCTTCTTGGGTCTCAGCTTCCTCATGTATAAAACACAAGAAGAAACATCCTACCTTAACTGGGTAGTAAGAAGGCCGATTATCATCTGCAAAATTCTGTAAGGAGAACTGATTTTTCTCTCGTAATACTAGGATATTTGCCAGTAGCCTCTTTTGTCTCAAAACATGGTCCTATAGTATTTAATATAATGAGAATGAGCTAATAAATTACTGGAGGTTATTTAAGATAGCTTTATTTTTGGAGTACAGATCTACTGGTAGCTGAACTGTAATGATTTCCACCTTGAGGGGTGATGGAAGCTTATTGCCCATCTAATGCAGTTTCATTAATACATCAGAGTAAGGAGTTGGTTTTGTTTTTTGTGAGGGAAAACAAAATCCAGTAAAAACATCAGACTGAGTGGTTGCTTTGCATCAAAGCATAGCAAACAGAGCTGTACCTTCCATCTTTTCCTTGTAGCAAACTCTGCGTGTGACTGGCCTCGCTAAGAACTCGCAGCATTGAGTAGCACCTTGGCTACTCTCGGCTTTGTCCAAAAGGATGCGAAGAGCTGGGCAGGGTAACAGCCTGGCAGTCAGTGGGCCCACCAACAGCATCCCTGGCATTCTCTGTTCCTCACCTTATATTGCTACTGTATTCTGAATTAAAAGTCCACTACCGTCTCATTTTCACTGCCTCCCTCTTCTCTTTCACCAAAGAGGATCGAAGTGTAAAAAATTATGGAGGATTAAGATTTGTTTTCAAAGTAACATTAGCCTACGCTCACAGCAGCAGCATTCATTCGCTTTGTTTCTCCATTTTATTTCATGAAAACACAATCCATGGAGTGTTTTGCTTCCAATAGGTACGTGCAAATGTAGGCCAAAAGCACTTCTGTTTGTTCCATTCAATCTTTTGCCGCTGATATAACCAAACTGTGAAACTGCTCTCATAAAGATAATGCCATCCACAGTATTGTACAGACCTAGAGAAATGTGAACAGCTCTTACACAGAATTGTCATTTGGTTTCTGTTTTACTCTGAAGTACTGTAGAGCAAGAATATTGAAGACTAAAATCTCTTGGGTTACAGAAGGTGTGCGTTGTGGAACAGGCACTGATTTTCCTTTGTAGCTGTATGTCAGCACGAGGAAAAAAAGGCGGGTGACCGGGAAGCCCCTGCGGCTCTGCCTCCCCAGCTTGGCTGCGAGGGGCACAGGGATGTAGAATCTGCCGAAGGACATCAGCTTGCTCCTTGTGCTTACGGGAGGCTATCAGAACAGCTGAATGTGTGCCTGAGATGGTGAAGTGACTATCAGCGTGAGCTTAATTTGAAGTCTGTATCTGTTACCTTGAGAGAATAGGCTTTTACTGGTCTTACAGAATTTGGCAGGCTGGGTTTGAGAAGCTGTTGTTTAGGATTAGGGATCAGGGTCAAACAAGGATGAGACATTCCCTCGGAAGAAGTTAAATGCTTCACTGTACCTGTGTGTATTTTTGGAATGAAATTGCTGTATGACTTCCTAATGAGCTTAAAAGTTGACGAGGATTTAAACTGTCTGTGGAAGTACCCTGAACGTATTGAGGTGTCACATTAGCTATTCTGAAATAAAACAGACCAGAACAATAGCAAACAACTTCAGCTAGCACACCGTTTTCCAAGCTGATTAGAATGTCTGTCCACCTCGTTAATATTCATAGGAAACAGAGCTTCTATTTAAGGGTACCCTATGTTTTCTTGTTCAAGGCAAGCATAAAGAAATGTCAGGGAATATCCTGCATTGTATTTTGAATTGTCAGGAGGAATGGGAGCCATTACTGTGTCGTGATTGTTTGTGCTGCTGTTGCGTTCAATTTACTGATGAACTAGATCGAACATCAGCTTGAGTGTCCTGAGTGATGCAGTTCAGAATAACCAGAAATCCTGGCTATTTGTCAATGAACAGTGGTATCACTGAGTGTCAGTGCTGTTCAAAATGTGATTTAACAGCATATTTCTTACAGAGGCCAATCTATCCAATCTATATGTACAATGCAAATAATCCTTTGTTTGGGCTATGGGCTTTTCAAGACTCACAGAAAGGTCTGTAATCTTTTCCAGTGAGACTCTGAGATATTGTCCATTTCCTAGTCTTTTCAGCCATCCTAAAACCAAAAGCGAATGAAGAATCCCAGGGGGAGCTCCTTCGGCAGCTGAAGATGAGTCAGTATGTCCGGCATGGACAACCGTGTCCTGTCTGCTTTTCTTTCTGAGCATTAGATCTAATAGAGGTCGTGACATGTGGGGTGCTGCTAACAGCAAGAAATCTGTGTGTGAACATCGCCATTTTTGCATTAAAAAGGGAAAAACAGAAGCTTAAAGAATTGTTAAATCTGAATCAAGTATCTGTTCAAATAATGTGAAAATCACTGTGTGCTGCTGATTGCCCCACTGGAATCTTGGTGGTATTTTTTTTTCGTTAGTTTGTGTTCTCCATCTCTTTGCCTTGTTGGAGCGTGTGTGTTAACGATCTATTGATACGGTGTCAGGCTGCTTTCTGCCATTCGATTTATATCACTTTAATGAAATTTAAAGGCAAGTTTAAGATAAAGCTTGAAAGGAAGATAAAGATTACTGTGAAAAATAACTTCACTGAAATTAAGGTGTATAGGCAACCTTGACACAACTTGTATGTGAAGGAGAGGTGCAGTTTTTGGATGTAAAAAAAGTAATGGGCTTTTTTGGAAAACTGGAATGTAATTAGTTCGAAATTCATCAAACCTGAAAATATCAATGTAGTGTTGTACCTTCTATTGCCACTATTCAATAAACAGAACATTTTATTTAATAAATAGTGAAAAAGAGGGAGGTGATGTGATAGGTTTTGTAGCTCAGGACATGAAATGAAACAGTCACGAAAGGACTAAGTGCTCTTGTTTGTTTTCTTAATAGTACAGAATGTAACATTATTGAAGACTGTTCTTGATCATTTAATTCTTCTTTACAATGCTGAAGGTGGGCTTGTTTCCATGCTCATGTAATTCCCTGAAGGCTTCCACAATTTGCAGCAACCTTTGCTTGCTCTTTGTATCACCAGTATTGCCCATTAACTGGCAAAGTGTCTCTGGGACTAAAGGTACCTCTCAAGGTAAAAGGGAAAACCCAGTATTTACGAGATACTAAAATGCCTTGCAGAACTTGCCAAGCAATTTCTGCATGTACATACTTCTATCACTTTCTTAAAATCGATTCATTGCCTATTTGTTTTTTTCTATTTTCTTCCTCTCAGGACTCTATTAAGTGGCTTCCCAAGTCTCCTAAATGGTACAGTGGCCATAACTGGAGCTCCCAGGGCTCTCGCTGGGCCTCGCTGAAGGGAAAGGAAGGTTTTCACGGTGGTAGCCTGTACAAATTCAGCTCTTCTAATGGAAAATGGAGGGAAGGAAGGATCAGTCCTGAGCAAGAAGCGGAGGAACTGGAGGATCCTGATGAGGATGTAGGTAGTTTCCTTGGAGTCAGGGAGGGACAATGTTGTGTGTCTGGCAAGAAGCTACAACCTGCTCGCAGTGCTGTGCTGCTGAGCACTTTGGGTGAGCGGGAGGCTGCACTGCCTGTGCTTTCGCATCCTTCCTTCTGCAGAGGGTTCAGAATCACATTCAGTGTTTTATTCCTTTACTTTGCTTGTAATTAAGCAATCTGTCCAACCCCTAACTTGCAGGTTAAGATGAGTAACCTGAACAATGATGAGGTACATACGGTTTTGATTTTGCTCCCACTGATACCCCTTGTTACCAACACCCCTCCATCTCTTTCAGGTAAGTGGTTTGTTGGCAGCGCTTGAAGCTCAATGTCTCCCCAGGACTGGATGGTAGAAAATGAGGTTGCAGTGCTACTCCTCTGCGTGTTCAATTTTTGGTAGTGCTCTTCCAGGGTGCTGACATCTGGGAAGCCCTGGAAGCTGCGGTTTCTGTAGCCTTCGCCCACCTGGCATCTGTCTCCTGGGCGGCAGCTTGGCTGGCTTCTCGGTCAAAGCCTGGGAAGAGGATCTGGTGGTTGCACTCTCGCAGCCTTTCCTGCTCAGAGCACTGTTCACCAGCCTTTTCTCCAGATGGTTGCTGGGAGTTGCCAGAGGAATTTGGGCTCCTGCTCCTCTGCCAGGACCTCCGCTCCCTTCCTAGCCCCCGACTGCTGCCGGTTTGCTCCCTCCGCTGGCCCCCGCTCCCAGCCCTTGCTCCTGGCCTTTCTCCCCGGCACCCACGGCTCTGCAGCACTGCTGGTGGGTCTGGGCTAGTCAGTGCGGCGCCGTTAAACAGGAATCTCCCACAGCAGAGAAAAAGATAATGAAAGTTTTATGTGAGTTAAAGCTAAACAATTTCCCTTTTAATTTTAAGTGAAAATAGGGAACAATCATGCCTTGCTTGCTCTCCCCGGGGTTGGCAATGCTTCTTTATCTCCTGACTGAAAAGAGATTGTGGGAAAGCTCTGATATAGACTGAAAAATAAAGTATCCAGTGGGGTTTCTGCACAGCTGTTTATGGTTCATGGCCTTTTATTTCTGGTATTAAACTTCCAAGATTAGGAAGACATTTGTGGGGTTTATTTTCAAAGGTGTTGACCTTTGTTTGCTGCATCATTTTACTGCCAACAGAAGATACAAGGATTATGGTAATATGAAGATCTGATTCAACCTTACCCATCAAATTAAGGAGGAAAAAGCAGCTAAATATAAATAAAGCGTCCATAAAATGTGAACAGAATTCGGAGATCTTGGCTGAATTTGTTTTAACCACCTTGCTGAGCAAAATTGATAATTGGAGAATTTAGTTGTGTTTTGCAGTCAAACTTGTCTGAAGCTTTAGTTGTTTGGTGGATGTATTTTGATTGTGTATTTCTCTTTTCAAGCCCTTGTGGTTTGGCTAAGGACAGGGTGACATTGTCAGTTCCTTGCTACATCTCGGGATGGCTACAGCCTAGAGCCAGACGTCAAGGCATGCTTTGGGGTGCCTCACTTCTGAGACTCCACTTCCAGTGGACCCCTAAATCACTGAATTGTTACTAAGTTTGCAAATCCCCACTCACTGCTGTTTGCAGCTAAATAATGTCAATCCAATTACTTTTTTCACTAAGACATTTAAACAAAATCTTCTCTTTGAGCTGCAGATGCAAGGCAGGGGCTTGCCTGCCCTCTCACACCTGTGCTCCCAAATATAGAAGGTGAGCAGGAGGCCCCCCAAAATAGTCTCGTTCCCATGCTCCGTCCTTTCCATAGAGCATCGCAGGATTTAGTTGGGTATATGTGGATTATATGTGCTTGTGTGGGCCGAGGGATGTGGGGAAAGGCTGTATGAAACCCAGTCCTCTCCCTGTTGCTGCAATTCCCACCTTGAAGGAACACCAATGCAGAGAGATAATGGTAAAAGAAGGATAACTTCTGTACATTTGCTTTAAAGTTGCAGTTTTGTCTTCAGTGAAACAGATTCTAACGTACAGCGGTGTGATAGAGAGAAACAAACCCAATTTACCATGGATAGTGTCTGGGTATCAGATAGGTGTTCTCCTTGCCGTCACCGTGTTTACCTTTTTTATCTTTAACCCCCAGGAACCTATTTCCAAGTTTTCCGGCAGCCTTTTTGATACCAGCAGCAGCATAAGAGATCAAAGAAGTACCAGAACAGCTCTTCAAGAAAAGCACAAGTCGGCAGTGAAAGGGAAGACTCTTCCAGGGACGAGCACTAAGGTGCAGCCACCGGTCTCGGCAGCGGGCAGCTTCCCTGGCGAGAGCGTCCAGTTCCTGGAGGAATCGAGAGCGGCGGAGGCACCGCAGCCCCCGCTGAAGGTAGTGAACAGCTGTGTGGGCTGAGGCAGTTTATAAAAGATGCGAAGAAAAGGGAACGTTGCATGGTAGATGTCGTGAGACTTACAGGTCAGGGTGTGGGCTGAGTTTTGTTCTTGCTCCCACTGGCTTATATGGAAGAAGAGTTTTCGTTAAAAAAAAACAACTTTCTTTGTAGCCATTCAATACTAACTCATTTTATATATCCAGCTTTGGAGTGTTGTAAGGTCAAGCCAGGGGTGTGTGCAGGTAGGCACTCAGCTAAGTCATTGCTTAGCCCATGGTTTAGGAGCAGTGGCATGGCCTTACCCTCACGCCGTGAGAAAGCCTCTGTCCCGTGAAAAGGGATGGGAACATTCAGGTGGAAATTTACTAGTGAGAACTGCAAGATGTGGGCTGAGGTTTATGGAGAAAGCTGTTCTCTGAGCTCAATGGATACATACCGACTTGGCATGCTTTGGAGCACATGAGGAGGAAATGTGCCTTATGGGTTGGCTCCCAGGGATGACCAAGTACAGATCACACCTCTGCTGACTGCTGGTGGGGTGTGAGGGGAGGGCTTTGGGGGAAACAGCCGTGGCTCATCAGCCGTGCTCTGGCAGTAGCGGAGACGCAGAGCTGCGCCGCATCCCCAGGGTTGTGGGGTGCAGTGCCGGGAAAGGCAGCTCGCCCCGTATGGCTCCCGTGCTGGGACCTGTCACCAAAGCCCTGCCGGCAGTCATGGGCTCGTGAAGTCTCCAGCGTGTGGGTAATGCTAAGTCTAAGCTGCATTTGGCAAAGGGGTTTCCATTTGGCTGGTAGGGTCTTTTCATGCCTTTTTAGGAATTACGAATTTCAGAGGAGTGTGTTATATGTGCAAGAGTAACTGCGTACATTTGTTAAATTTCGTAATGTAGCTGTGTTGGAATATTCTTAATTACAAAATACAACAGGTTATTCGGGACTGAATAGTCTTAGAGATAGGAAGCAAATCAATGAAAATAAAAGCATTTTGCTAATGTGATAAGGTGAAATGCAATTTGCATTCAGATTGAACTACACTCTGGCAAGGTGTTCCTAAATTTGATATGATTGTTGTTTTAGCAATTAGCAAATTGTTATTTACTGCCAAGCATGTTATATACTAAAGAAAAAGAACCCAACAACAGGGGGAGATAATGGTTAAATGCAGGCTGTCTTTGGAGCTTGAAACTAATTTTATTTGGCCTTTGTTGTGAATTACATAAATCCAGAAAGTTATCTAAGATACTGAGCAGTTGTACTATATTTTTGCCAGTAGCAGCAGGAGGAGAATAGACTAGATAGATAGATTACAATTTATGCTGCTTTTTTAAAAGTTTCTTGATACTTTTAATGTGAAGTCAATGGTAGTACTGTCAAATGTTTTGACAGAGTAACACATACACACAGAAAGCCTGTTTAAAGAAAATAAAATGACGGTAATAGTGCTCAAATTCAGTTACCTGTTCTTGAAAGAGCAGAGAGTAAGCAAATCAGACTGTAGATGAGGTTCCAAAGCAAAGGTTTTTCATAAACTTGTCAAAAAATACTTCCTTTTCTCTCCTCCTGTGTACTGGTGTTGTTGCCATCATGAATGCTCCGTAAAGTGATGGGCTTTATGAAACAGCTGTTTTGGTCAGCAGCCTTAGGAACAGCCTTATATGGTTTTGGCATGACTCTGAATGCTGGAGAAATAATTCATTCTTGGTGTTATGGAAGAGTAAAGACTAGTCTTGCATGTACCAGTGTTGAAGTGTAGCAATGTTTTAATCTGGGCTGAGCTCTGTAGGGGCAAATCTGCTGGTGTTCAGAGTGGGAGGTAGATTTTCATTGCTAATGTAATTAATGGGCAATGTTTTTGATTAATCAGGCCACTTATCCATTATAATTCTCTTCCAGATAACCATTACTGTGTGCAGTCAAATGGGGAGTCTTGGTATTAGCATTGCTGGTGGAAAGGGCTCATCTCCATGTAAAGACAATGATGAGGTGCATTTCATTACTCAAAATTTATCTAGTAATCGTTAGAAAGAGACCAATGAGCAGATCTTTGAAGCTGTTGCATTTTGTTGTTTTCTTTCTGAGATTCTCCTCAGCGTGACATCACTGTCTTTGTAATAAATCTAACAAGGGGAAACATGGGTAACTTACATCCCAAGGTCAAAGCCGGCAGTAGATTCTGACAGGGAAGCTCCCAGAGGGGTGATTTTGGAGAGAAAACCCGATGTAAACCGATGATTTTCCAAAGATAGCCAGATGGCTGAAACACTGTTGGCTAGTTTCCACTTTCTGCCTCAGTTTGGGATCCCTCCCTTGGCAATCCATGTGCCTCTCCCATCCCAGTTGCTAACCTGATTTGAGAGAAGTGTTTCTCACATCTTCTCACCTAATTATCATTTAAATAAATCTTTGTTTTCCAGTCTGTCCCCCATGGCTCAGTGTAAACAGTTAATGACTTTTGTTCATTGTTTTATGTGTCAGTCGTGGAGGCTTTTATTTTCTTGCTAATGTGCTAAGACACTTAGTTTTTGTTTTAATAGAGGCAGCAGAACAACAAGTCTTGAAAATTAATTACTTCCTGATTGCTTTTTACATCTAAGAACAATGGAATAAACTGTGTCAGGTCTGAAACCTGTCTTTTTTGCTACCAGGGGATTGTGTTTGCACGGCTGCCGAAAGATGGTCCAGCAGACTTGGCCGGGGTACAAGCAGGAGACAGAGTGGCAGAGGTAGATGGGTTGTTTGTCGATGTAGAGCATGTTGTCTTGTTGGTATCTTTAAATCGAATCACTTGGAGTTGGGGAATTTGAGATCTAGATCTAGGCTTCCCTTAGCATTTCAGACGCTTCCCAAACTACATTATAAAGAAATTATAATGACATTAAATTGTTGTATTCCTTCTCATTATATGTTGGGTTTCAGATCTTTATGTTCAAAGTGCTTAACAACATATTATTTACTTAAATGGCTGATTCGCAAAGGAAAATAATGGTCTTAGTAAGCGGTTATGTAAGCACAAATGGAGTTGTACTTGGTCCAAGAAGCTTTCTTATGACATTGTATTAGATTTACTAGAGGGGTTCATTACAGTCCTTAACAGAGCAATATAAACTAGATGAGCTTGTTTCTCCAAGTTAATTTTTGGTTGGGAGAGAACAACTCGGAGTAACTCCCCTGATGGAGGCTTGCAGTGCCGAGTGCCAAGGGATAAATGTGTCTCTCAGGCTGCTCCACCTCAAGCCTTGTCTTTCCTAGCGGAAGCCATTCTGCTGAGCTTCAGAGGTTCCCAAGAGCAGTGGTGATCACGTACAGTTTTGCAATACATAATTTTGGCCTACTGGTTGGGTTCCACCTGCTGAGAAAGGCAGAGTGAGAGGCAAGCCTCCACAAAATTACTTTGAGGTGAAACTGGTCCACCATTTTTTTTCAACTCTTGTACTCTTAAACTGTCAGTTATACTTGCTTGAATTAATAGCTTTTACTTCAGCATATTCCTTGTTGAATTAAGGTTGGATAGAGCAAGCAATATTGTATGTCTATTAAATTGCCAGGAATAAGGATACAACATATATTAGCCAAAGACAAATTAATGATAAATTAATCTATGAATTTTGTAAAACTGTGCTCTAGACTTTATTAAGAAAGGATTGCATTCCACAATCTGCATATGGAAGTTAGTTTAACTTTTTTAAAATTTTAATTACGGATAAAGCTCTGTATAATTTTACCTTTTTTCCTTTTATGAAAGGATTATACTTCTCTAATTTTTGTGTTTTAATAGAAGTGAGAGAAGGTAAATAATTCTTTACATATTTCACACTATCAGATCATCAGGGAAAAAAAAATCAGAATTTTTGAATGCTGTACCTTTAAGTTCTGAGCAGAGTTTCTGGTAAAGTCAGTATCTTAAAAATCAACCACTTTGCTCAGGTTCCTCCATGAGGCTATAGTTTGTTCTTTTTTGGGAGGCTATTTGAAATACACTACCTACTAATGTCTGTTCATTTAATGAACAGTGAAACAAGTAAAAAAAGAAAAGAAATTTCAGTTCCATAGCGTTCTGTCTTGCTGCTGTTATCCTACAAATAGTTATGTTTTCTGTCTCCCACAAGATGGCAGAATCATTCATCTGTTTAAATACAGAAAAGAAAAATCTCTGCTTTTTGTATGTGTGGGAGAAGGAATTAATGCATTCAGGTGTGCTCTAGAAGTCCTAATGTTTTGACCACAGGACTAATCTGTGTAAAAATAACCAGCATTTTTCTCTTGACACTATGTGTTACAACTTCTTATTCTTCTACTGACCATTTCAACAGTTCAAATATACAGTGTTTTCATCAGAAATTGGGAACTGCAATTTTATTTGCTTTCTTTGTGCAATCACATATAAACAGAGGGCCAGGCATTCCTACGCTAACTTGAGAGGGAGGGAATTGCTCTTCTTAAACAGCGTTCAGAATAAAAATATGCATTTCTGCTGCTTTGTTTTTAAAGGCATCCCTTGTTTCAGAACCTGATGCCCTTGATGCTGGTCCTACTGAAGCTTCATCCAAGGGCAGCCCCTTCCCGACAGTAAACCACGTCATAACAGTAAGTAAGATAGTAAAGACTGGCACAAAACGTGTGAGTGTCTGTGTAAAAGGAGAACACGTACCAAGGATCAGCAACCCCACCATGTGTTTACTTGGTTGTCACTTGCAGCCAGGCCATGGCTTCTGGTGGAGCTCAGCTCCTGGTTAAGCATCAGCGTAGCAGACCAGAGCCCTTGAAGCACTCTGATTTGGGGACTTTCAGGGCAGCATCCATTTCCTCCATCCTTTTTTTGTTTTGTTTTGTTTTCTGGACTCCCTCTCTAGCTAATGGAAGGAACAGCATCTCCAGGGTGCCTCTTTTAGGAGGGAGAGGTTGAGATGCTACCTGGAGGTGACAGTTTTTATCTTTTGACTGGAGGGGGATCTTGCGTGACAGGCTAAGACTGCATGCCTGTATTTTAGGTGACTGATGTCAGACAAGATTAAGCCTACCACACATGTTGCACAAGGAAATGGAGGAACCCGCAGGGTGGCATTTGGAAATCTGATCCACTTTTGTGAACTTCTGTAACAGAATTCAACTTTCTGAAGACCTACCTCAATGATGGCTATCTGCCTGCACACCTGAAATTATGGCTTTACTAGGAAGATACAATAAGATCAAGGTATCTGACTGATTAAGGTCAAAAAGCCTCCTACTTGTATTGAGCCTGAAGTACCAGGAAGCAACAAATGTTTCTCCTACAGCAAATGCACAGAGGAATGCTTTGTTTGATTCCTCTTCTTCCAGCCTTTTTTATCCTTTTCCAGGAATACCACTCACCACCCAGTTAATGGCAAAAAATGAAAGTTCATCTATTATATAAAAGACTATAATCAAAGTCCACATTCAGGTTTTATTAAAACCATTCACATTTCTTTTTAATAATGTGATTTGTTAGCTGGCTGAAAAATGAGCAAATAGACCTTGCAAACCTGGTTTTCTCTGGTTTCCTAGGTGGATTACTATTTAAAAAGGATTGAGCTTAAGCTGCAGCTTTTGTCCAGGAGATGGACTAAGAAAGGTTTTCTCTGCTATTCAGTTGCTTAAAGAAATTTATTTTGAGGCCTCTGGTCTCTAACATAATCTTGTGGAACAGTTAGACCAGTTTTATTTTCCAGGTGAAAATGCTTCCATCAGGTTTTTTTTTTTGTCGTTCATCTCTGCTTGGTAGCTATTTCCTACGGTCTCAACCCACGTTGCGGGAAGCACAAGGCTTCCTGTTGGAGGAACCACTGTTGGAAGGGTTGATTGACACATTCCTAGTGGCCTGGATCTGTTGCAGTAGTATCTGACTCAGCGTTTCCAGCCAAAAGAGGAAATGACCATTTTTTACGTTGTATACCTCTTGGAAATTAATGCCTCCCTGTAATGTTCTTCAGTTGCAGGGGGGAAGAGGAGGCAGATTAGACCAAGCTACTTACCTTAGAGCGCAGTCCATAGAGGGAGTCAAATGGCTGAAGATATTCCAAGTGTCAAAAGTAGCTGATGTGCCAGTTCTTCCATGGAGACACATTTGTATTTCTGTTTTGGAATTTCTGGGGTGTTGTTTTTAATCAAAATCTTTGTGCTGTAGCAAGTTGTGTATGTTATTGCCTTTAACCTAGATCAGCATTCATCAGTCTTGGGGATTATGAAATTTTGAGGAGTATCCTGCTGACTCAGGGACAGGTCACTATCTCATCTGCTCTCGCTCTGGGTTTACTCTGATGAAGTTCCTCTTACTCCTCAGTAACTGTCTTATCTGAAAAACATTTATAGCCTGGCTTCTTATGGAGGACACACTTTGCATGTTCAGATAAGCAGATGGCAGTAGGACCTTAATGCAGAATCTTTTTTGTTAGGAATCTAGGAAGCTTTGGTTCCTTCATATTTCTAACTGGGTTTCCAGAGAAGGTGGGTGCATCTGTATCAAGCGAGGGAAGGGGAGAAGCATCATGGCAAAGAAGCCAAAGGCTCCTATTATTCTTCCTGCAAAAACTGAATTATGTGCTGGATGCTGCCCATCTTCCTTTTCTCTTTCTTCCATGTCATCACTGCTTCCTGCCCTCCAGCAGAGACTCTGTCTTAATCTATTTATTTTTACTGAATTTTGATAAATATCCTCCTTGCATATGCTATCTGTGGTAGTATTTGTCTCTTGCTTGCTAGCCATCGACCTCTGGCCATCTGTTGCCATCGCCCATCCCGTCTCCGAGCCTGGTGCTCTGACATTACAAAGGGCAATGCTGTTGCCAGATTCACATTTCCTCTCTGTTCTCCATGGGCCTGGTTGCTCTAATGTCTTCTAAAAGGCTCATCTGCATTGTTAACTCATCCAGCCAAACCGAATTCCAAACCCTTTGTGCCAGCTTTAAGATTTCATGTCAGTGTGAATGATCAGTAATTAATTGGACAAACAATGAAAAGTTCATTCAGTCTGAGTCAAAGTTTTGCAAAGGAAAATTGAGAATTGCCTTTGGTTTTAAGTATGATTATTTAATTGAAATCTAGAGGCCCCAGAACTTTAATTACAATTAGATTTTTTTTACATACCATATTTTATAGACTTGTCTCAGTTATGCTAATCACACCTCAGAAATAGGGAATCTGTTTCTTTTACTTTGTTTAATACATATTTAATTGAACTTAAACCAAGTCTTTGGATTTTAAACTGGTAGTCTTAAAATAAGAGTATCTACGTAAAGACGTGCATCAAAATACAACAGATTAAAACCACAATTGATATGGCTGTCTTCATGCAGACTGTAAGATATTGCATGTCTATCTACAGAGGGGGAAAAAAAATCAGTAGTACAAACGTTACCAATAGTGCCCCGTGCTGACTTTAACAGAAGGAACTTTAACTCAGTTTCTGAAGTCTTTATTTCCAGTTCTCTATTTTTCTGTCTTCTGCCCTCTGCTTCTTGTTTTGTGCTCATCCTCTCAAACACAGAACCAACTCTGCGCAATATTTTTCCATCAAAAGTATTTTCGTTCAAGCTCTGACTGAAGTTCCCAATGGTTTTGTCTGACTGAATGGAGAGTCTTGACAGGTTTCAGCATCTCCTATCACTTCGTGACGTGCATCAGCAGTGCCTTCTGCTGTGATCCATTTTTGGGGCTATCAACGTTGTAAGGATATTAGATACTTTGTAATTAATATCACTCTATTAAATATTTTAATCTAGTATTTCACTTCAATTCTTACTATATTATT